TCCTTTCTATCGGCCAGGTGCGGTGGCTCACACCTATAATCCCAGCAGTTTGGGAGGCCGAAGCAGGAGGATCACTTGAGCCCAGGAGTTCGAGACCAGCCTGAACAACATAGCAAGACCCTGTCTCTTAAAAAAAAAAAAAAAAAATCCTTTCTATTCCTAGAACTCTAGGGTAGTGTGAAGTAAGGGTTTTCACAGTTATACTGGGTAAGTTACTACCTGTCGAGTACTTTTCTAATTATGCTGTACTTATTAACTTATCGAGTCCTCCAATGGCCCTATGAGGAACACACTGTTTATGTTCTATAGATGAGGAAACTGAAGCATAGGATATTAAACAACTTGCCCAGGGCCACCGAGCTTATAAGAGGAGAAGCAGTCTTTACACCCCAGGCTCCAGATTCCACAGACTCAACCACCAAACTCTCTTGTCTGTCGTCATATAGAAGGCTGTTCTGTCTTCTCAGTGTAGCCCCCTTAAAGATAAGCCGCAGGTCTTAGTAAACCACAGCGCTTTTGCTATTAGGCAAACTAAACTTGAGTTAAATCGTATTTTACACTGAATTGAAGTTATATTCTCTGTGCATTTTATGCCAGTAATTCTGGAATCTGAAAAGTGCCATGCCAGAAATTTTCTCTGATTTAATTTGCTTACAATCATTTTAAAAATGAGGAGCTGTTATCCACGTGTTTGCCCCATGTTGGCATGTTTTAGAAGTACTTTCAAATATATATTTCTGCTGCTGGAATATAAAACCATAAATTCAGGCAGAATAGAACAAAAGGCCAAAGAGTGTGATGTATTTACTGTTTTTGAGATAAAGTTGAAACAGTTTACAGAATCCCAGCAAGAGAATAGGAATTCTCAGAGACAAACTCCTCCTCCACAGAGGCCTCACATGACCGACACAAGTTTCAGTCCAGTGCAACTTTTTGCAAATGAAAACTTACCCTGGGGTTGTTTGGAGACTTCTAGTCACTTGCGCTTTCTAAAGTTCTCAAAACGAGCATGGGATGACAGTCCAGTTTTAGGAAATATAATTTTAGTTCAGAAGAGATGGAGTTTCAGTTTAGAATAGTTAATCTTCATTATATTTGACATAATTACTCTGTACCCTGTGGATGGGTGGCTTTTCAAAACCCACTCCTGGTGAGGCAGATCAGGGCTCCAGGCCAGCACCCCTCTGGAGACTGGAATGTGAATTTTTGTGCCGGGGCACAGAGCCAGCTTCCTATTTATTTAGAGCCATTGAGCACCTAAGGCGCCGAACAGAAGTTGTGATGCAAGTTTTTGCTGCAGAGCATGTTAGGGTTGCCTGACGTGTCTAACTAAAATATGATCTGAGAGATTTCTCAAAGCCCTGGTTGATTTAAGCACCATAGTATTCAGTAGCGTGTTTTGAGTCCTTTTAACTCAGTCCTAAGTAAACAGGAGGCAGTGCAAACAATGAGGAAGTTCCCTTTGCATTCCGATGGTGAATGGGGTTGGAGTCTGTAGGCAAAAAGAGTGCAAGAGGAGAGCTGTTTCCTTTTGTTCATGGCAGCAGTCTAGAACATGGTGACTGAAAGTCATTGGAAGCCATGGGGGCCCCAGTTTTCTTTATGTGACTAAATGTCTTGCCAACTCCCAGGTGTGTGTGTAGGTGCGTGAGTGTGTATGTTTGTTTTCTAAACAAAGAGGCACACGTGCAAAATAATGTAAAAGGGCAGAGTGAAGTTTGTCCATGTCGCTGTATAAAAGTGCATGGGATGTGCCTGGGGCAGGAGTGAAAGAGACACGGCCCCACGTTGTGAGAGAACAGATTGAGGTGCGCTCCCAGGCTGCTGTGGGAACAGTGGGTTAGCATGTCACCCAGCTTTAGGATTTGGGGGAGGTTGCTCAAGCTCCGAGGCAGATAGGTTAAGTCTAATTTAACTCTTAATGGTTGGAAGAAAAGAGGGAAGGACAGTTTAAGAAGGTGAAAAGTCAGGAGTGAAGGCAGCAAGAAATGATTGGCATGCAGTTTTTTCCTGAATCCTCCTCTGGTTATAAGGAATCAACTGGAAAATTGCAGTGGCAGTAGCTGTTAAGAAAAAAAATAGGATTCAATTCATGAAATATTAAACATGTAAGTGAACTGGCATTTTAACGAATCTTTGTAGTATTAAGGGATTAAAAAAGTTAATTCTTGGTAATTAGATCCTCAGGGAGAACTTAATTTGCATCTATGTATGATAAGTGTTTACTATTAATAATTCAATACAAGTTTTGCTTTGGCCAGTATTGAGCTGGGTCTCAGGCTGGTGAAAACAGAGGCTAGATAGAGAGTGATACCATTAGCCTAATTTTGTCATCTGTAAGCAAAGGAATGTTAAAATCTGTTCCCTTCGTGGTTTCTAAATGACTTCTAGAAGTATCGTGCATGGAAGAAGGCAGTGTAGTGTAGTAACTTATGTTCTTATGCAGTCCTTAGAACCTGTCAGGATATTGGTTATGACACTGTTCCCACAGGGTGGATGACAGGGGCATCTTTATCTTCTTGAGACATATGGGAAACTTAAGAAGGAAAGTAACTAGGCCATTTGCCAAAGATTACACCTACCTCCAAACAAAAAGTGAGGCAGGTATGATTTTAACTGTGCTGAAATCTCTGAAGATGTTGATGTTTTAGCCAAATTCATTTTGACTCTTTCCGCATTTCACTCTTTGAGATCTATTGAGTAGACTCCAATTTCTTTGGCAGGTGTTGTCACATTGGTCTCCACAAAAATTATTATTGAAATAATTACTTTTTTTCTTGCTTTTCTTTTCTTTTCTTTTTTTTCTCTTTTTTTTTTTTTTTTTTTGAGAGAAGGTCTTGCTCTGTTGCCCAGCTGAAGTGCAGAGGTGCAATCATGGCTCACTGTAGCCTCAACCTCCTGGGCTCAAGTGCTTCTCCCGAGTAGCTGAGACCACAGGCGCACACCTGGCTTTTTTTTTTTTTTTTTTTTTGGTAGAAAAAGAGTTTCACTATGTTGCCCAGACTGGTCTCCAGATCCTAGGCTCAAGTGATCTCCCACCTCAGCCTCCCAAATTTCCGGAATTAAAGATGTAAGCCACTGCGCTTGCCCTAAATAACTGCAATTTTTTTTTTTTTTGAATGCTGTGATGTGCCTAGCTTTGTGCTAAGCTCTTTGAATGTGTTACCTGATTCAGTCCTTGGGAAAACCCTAGGAGGAAGGGGCCACCTGGTTTCTAGATGGGAACCCTGAGGCTTAGCAAGAAAAAGAGAGCCGGTGTGGTAGGGCCAGGACTGGAGCCCGGTTTATACTCCTACCAACAGGATGGGGGTGCCTGTTTCACTTCATCCTTGTGAAAAAGGACACTTTAGCAATCCTTTTAAGTATTTGCCAACCTAAGAGGTAAAAATGTGATTTTTTAGTTTCTGGTTCTTATGTGTCCGTCTTGGGTAGGATTGGACATCTTGGCATGGTTATTGGCTGTTTGCACTTACAGTTTTAGGAATTGCCGCTTCACATCCTCTGCTCCATTTTTACTGGATTGTTCATCTTTTTTTTAATTGATGTCTGTGTATTATAAATAGTAACCCTTTGTCATGTGTTATAAGTCCTCTCCTCAGTTTATTTCTTTCAACTTTCTGCTTTGTATTTTTTTGCCAGATAGAAGTTTAAATTTCTTAAATTGCAAATCTGTGAACTTTTGATGGCTTTAGAGTTTATTATCCCTTTTTAAATTTTTTTTAAGAGACAGGCCACTATATTGTCCAGGGTGGCCTTGAACTCCTGGACTGAAGCAGTCCTCCTGCCTCAGCCTCCCAAGGTGTTGGTATTATAGACATGAGCCACTGTACCCGGCCAAATTTTATTATCCTTATCTTATCCTAGGAGTATAATATTTTTCTGTGTTTTCTTATTGTTCTATAATTTCCTTTTTAACAGGTATCTGAGATTATCTTTGAAATCTTCTGTCTCTTCCAGGGTTTAAAATTTTTTTAGCAAATTATTCTTTCATGATTTCTTGTATTTCCTTTGTTTCAATGATTAAAGCATTATTGAGGAAATAAGCTATATTTTATTAATCACAAGTCTCTGCATACACTAGAAAACTTCTAGTATAATTATTTGGAAGACATAATGATGCAGTTTCAGAGTCCTCAGATTAGAAACCACTGTTTTAAAGGCATGAGGTTAGAAAAAGAATTTTGCACCTATTCCAGGCTAATTGCTACCTATTCCAGGTTAGCAGAGGTGGTCCTGTACCAATGGCTTTTGGACAGAGCTCTCATAGTCTGTGCTGTGGGCGATTCCCCCATTCAGTGTGCGAGGATACCAGAATTAAAGAAGAATAATGAGAAATGCTTACAGCCCATAGATAGACGTGAGGTCACAGACAGCCAGACTGGAGCTAGGAGACCACGTTGATGTCACATACTGCCCTGTCAGAACCCTGGGAAACCCTTGGTCTGTGCTGCAAGAGATTGGCCCATGATAGCCAGTTATAACCCGGCAGTGGGCATCTCAGGGGTTTGCATAGATCTAACCTTAAAAAGCCACATGACTGGGTGTGGTGACACAGACTTGTAATCCCAGAACTTTGGGAGGCCAAGACAGAAGGATCACCTGAACCTGGGAGTTGTATATCAGCTGTGGCATCATAGTGAGACCTCCATCTCTATAAAAAAAGATTTTTTTTAATTAGCTGGGTATGGTGGTGCATGCCTGAAGTCCCAGCACCTTGAGATGCTGAGGTAGGAGCATCACTTGGGCCTGAGAGTTCGAGGCTGCAGTAAGCCGTGATTGAGCCACTGCACTTCAACTTGGGTGACAATATGAGATCCTGTCTTTAAAAAAAAAAAACAAGAGTCCTATTAGGAAACCATAATGATTTTGGGGGGTATGTTTTAGATCTTGAAGAAAGAAAAAATAATTTGGGGAGTACTTGAACTATCAAACTTTCTCATCTATTAGGTGCATTAGGTTCCTTACATCTTATTCTTTTTTTCCTTCCTTTTAATATATAGCTACTCTCCAGAGAGACCGGATCTTCAAACATTTTACCAGGAAGCGCCAAAGGGCTATGCGAAGGCGAGTCCACCAGATCAATGGACACAAGTTCATGGCCACGTATCTGAGGCAGCCCACCTACTGCTCTCACTGCAGGGAGTTTATCTGGTAAGGAGTTCCCTGACTTCCGTCCTCCTCAGAGCTTCTCTCTAATAGGCTTCCTCTGATTATGTATGACTTCAGCAGAATGCATGATTATTTAAGAATTCTTTTGGGATCTGATTTTTGCCTCTTACTCTAATATGTTGATCCAGTAATTTAAATCTCCATTGCAAAAACATCTAAATAATTTACAGATCCAAGTTTTAGATATTATTTCTTTTTAAAATCATCTTGGTAAAGATGCTAATGAATCCTAAACTGGTCAAAAAGCATAAATCAGAGAAAAAAGCTAATAAGTCAATAAATAGACAATCAGTAAATTGGATAATCAGCCCCTAAGGACCAAAGAATAATCAACAGTATTGCTTTAAGAAGGCATGAGTCACATAATGACTTATGGAAATTCATGGTTGCAAGAAAACTAAACACAAAGTAGTCTTCAGCTTCTTGGTATGTAGCAGAAGATAATAGCCTTCAGTGATCATATACTATAATCTGATCCCTGGCAATTAGTAACTAAGATGATTCAACATTGAGAAATTCTAGAGATTTGGGGCAATATCTTACTAGATATGCAACTGAAGCTTAAGTCTCAGTCGCAGTGGCAAATGTAAAATAAATTTAAGCAGTAGTTATCTTTAATGATAAATTAAGCATATTTATTTGGAAAGGGAAGAAAGCAAGATGCCCTCAGACACCCATCTCAGAAGGAGAAAACAGTTTGGTAGCATGAAAGGAGATCTATGTTTTTGTTGTCAGCTTTAATTATTTTGTTTAATGAAGGCAGAAGCCCTTGGGTCAGAGCAGTTTCTGAATGTTGATCAATTACTTTGTATTTTGGTTTCTGTGATTACTTTGGATTTTGTATCTTCAACAGTCAGAACCTAGGGCTAGTTAATACTTCTGACATTTTTAATCAAGAAACAAGTTTTGAGACCCTAAACTGGCTATAGATGTGAAGCCAACAAATGTGTCATAACATTTATTGTATTTAGGAAAAAAATTATATTACTTTTTTTGGGGGGGAGGGAGGAATTAGCAGCCCTGGTGTTTTTGAGCTCATGTTTCCTCTTTGCATCAGGCTGCGCTCGACTTAGCCGCAGCCCCACCTCTCCATGGTTCTCTCACTTGTGACCTAAGGGTGCTTGCGTGTTGCAGTGTATTTCATGTCACACCTTTCTGTTTCTTTTACATGACCTGCTAGGCCCCTGTAGGCATTAGTGGTGATGGCCCCTGACCTGAACTGACATTTGTAATGGAAACTTATTTGATCATTTCACTGACTTTTTTCCACCAAAGAAACATTAACTGCACCCAACTAACCTTTAACGCCTCCCTCCCCCACACCCACACACCCTCACACTCATACTGTCTCTCTCACATACATTTAAAATATTGGTGTATATATTAATATATATGGTTAAGAGTATGGACTCTGACATCCAGTCTCATCACCAACTGGGTGTGTGACTTAGGCAAGTTATGTAGCCTGTCAATGTCTCTTCATTTGCAAAATAGAGACAACAATCTTATTTTATTTGTATAATAAACTTTCATATAGTACTTAAAGGGCCAGGCACTATTCTGAGCATTTTATATTACAACTTTTAATCTTCATTAGAGCCCTGTGCGGTAGGAACTGTTATCATTAGTCCCTTTTATGGATGAGGAAACTGTGGCTCAAAGGATCAGGCCTTCTGGCTTCAGAGTCTGTGCTCTTAACCATGTTATTTTGTGTGCTGCCTCCCATGGCTTTTTGTGAGGATTAAATGAAACAGTATATATCAGCCGCTTGGCTCAGTGCCTGGCACATCCTATGGGCTTAGTTACTGTGGTCTTTGTTCATGAGAATGATAATACTCCCAATATTACCATCACCATCACCCGTAGAATATATTCAGGAGAGACAAAGATGGAAGTGGTGAGCCTGAAGGGTATATTGTGGCGGCACCTCTGCCCACCTGTGGACTCCAGGGGTGATATGGACACAGGGACAAGGGCAGGTCCCCTGGGATAGGCAGCTGCAGTAGACTCATCTGTGCATTTCCACAGTGTATCTGTGTCTGTTTACTTCAGCATCTGTACATCTTTATGTGAGAGAGAATAAGGTGGGAACTCCTCAGGCCAAGGCTTAATCACACATACAGATGAGGATTTATTGCCACTGAGGACTTAGGAAATTGCCGTGGAGGCAGATGGAATGGGAATGGTTGTGATCCACCCATTTGTATCATACAGCACATTCTAATCTATCACGTGGTTTTTTCTTTGTGTCTCATAGTAACAAACAATGGCTCAGAAAGCACATCATCTTTGCTTCTTCCCTGAAATTGTAGTTTTCATAAAGGAGGAGAGGATGAAATTTGTTTTCCTTAAGGACTATAAGAGGCTTATTGCTGAAATATTTGACTGATGGTAGTTTTCTTCTCTTCAACAGGGGAGTGTTTGGGAAACAGGGTTATCAGTGCCAAGGTAAGGAAACGTTTTTAAAACCATGTTTCATTTTGTTCCTATGTTTAAAAAATGATTATACCAAGAGAAAACAGAGTCTCTTCCCTTAGTTTTGTGATAAATAACTCTCTGTAGGTCAAAGGAAGCCCCCTAGTAGATACAGTTTGGTTAGATCTTGGCCATATTTTATACAATGTAGAGAGGATGTTTTTATTTGTAAAGCCAGGCTACCTAATAAAGTTTCATTGTTTAAAGTTTTGTCTCTGCAATAACATGAGAGTACTAAACGGTAATGTGATTTTGTGAGCATACTCTTAAATTTTGAAGATACACTTTTGTTTTTTACAATCCTATTGATAATTGTTAGGGGTGAAAAGTAGCACACGGTTGTTTTCTCTTTTTCAGGGAACATAAGCTATTTTCCAAGTTGTTTTTTGAAATTTTATGATTTCAAAAAAAAAGTAAGAAATGTTCAAAGTTAAGCTGTCAGTGATCTTGTAAGTTACTACATGTTACATTTATTTTTCACAATCTAAGGCGAAACCAATGTACTACTGTTTCTAGCATAATTGGAATGAAATACAATGGCAGGAATGGATGAAGAGCCCTCAGTCCGGTGATGTGGCCGGGCCAATCAGGCTTACCTGTCATTTGGGTCCCCGTTAACCTTTGGCATGAGTATCATCACATAGCTTATACACATGGGACCCGTTTCACTATGTGGATGATTGATAAAATGGCACCACATATCCTAGAGCAGTAGCCTACATGTGGATAAGAAAATCTCACCTTCTCTTCTGGAAGAGGTGAGGTAAAACATTACTTCCCTTGGATGAACTGAATAAGACATGCTGTTGGATCTAATTTTGACTTTACTATGTATGAACAATTCCACTGAACTTTCAAAGTTCGGAAAAAAACAAATGTATAATCAATATGACAGCAGTAATTGACCTGTATGCTGTTAATCTCAGTCCCAAGTGAAAAGACAGTTCACAAGCCGGAATCACTATCCCTTTGTGGCTTGGGCCTGCGAGCACAGGAATATGCCCTGCAGTGCGTAGTAGCCCATCTTATGCACACCAAGATAAGTTGAGAAGCTCTGAATAAACAAGATTATGGTTTTGAGTTTAAAACATGGGATATATGATACATCTCTATTGTTATTTTCTTTTTCACTTTGGCGTATAGTGCCTGGATATTTGATGGCCTGATTTTCAGTGGGTCACCTGCTATGTAAAGAGCAGTAAAGACTATTAGTTAGGAGACATGCAGACACTACTTTGGTGATATCTCCCTAAGGCGTATAAAACCAAATGCCTGGTTGGAGAGAGGTATGCCATTCTAACGCTGATCAAAAGCAAACTGGCATAGGTATTTCAGACAGAGCAGACTTCAGAACAAGGAAAATTATCAGGAATAAAGAGGGGGCAGCAACAAAAGGGTCAGTTTTCCAAGAAAACTTAATGTTTTTATTTAAGTTTTGTTTTATTTAAAGACCAGTGTAGTAGTACATAACAATTTTTAACATGTATGTATGTACCTAACAACAGGCATCAAAATACATGAGACAAATTGATAGAATCACAAGGAGACATGAACAAATCCACTTCTATAGTTGGAGACTTCGATATCTCAGTAACTGATAGATCCAGCAGGCAGAAAATCAATAGGGATATAGGTGATCTAAACAGCATTATCACAACTAGGTGAAATTGACATTTATAGAATACTCCATCCAAAAACAGCAGTTTTCACATTCTTCTCGGGCTCACAAGGAACATTTACCAACATAGACCACATTCTGGGCCATAAAACATACCTTACCAAATTTAAAACAAGAGAAACCATAAGCAGTATCTTCTTAGACCACAATGGAATTAAACTAGAAATCAATAACTGTAAGATAGCTGGAAAACCCCCAAATATTTGAAGGTTAAACGTCACATTCTAAGTAACACATGGGTCAAAGAAGAAGACTCAAGAGAACATAAAAAATATTTTGAGTCAAGTGAAAATGAAAATATAACTTATAAAAATATGTGTGATACAGCAAAAGCAGTGCTCAGATGGGAATGTATATCATTAAATGCATAAAGTAGGAAAGAAGAAAGATCTAAAACCAAGATTTGAAATTTCCACTTAGGAAACTAAAGAAGGAAGATAAATTTAAGCCTCAAGTGAGCATAAGAAAAGAAATAATACAATTAGAACAGACATCAGTGAAGTTGAAAATAGGAAAACAACAGAAAAAAATCCATGAAATCAAATGCTGATTCTTTGAAAAGATTAATTGGTAAGCCTTTACCAAGCTAACCAGGAAAAAACCAAATACCTCAAAAAATAAAGTCTTTCTGTGTAAAGGATGGTTTTGAGATCCCCTCATATGAAAAAACCAGTTCTCTGGGCACTTTCAATTTAGTTCTCCTGAGAACTGAATCTGATGAAAGCTAAATTTGTTTTAAGGTATAATGCTATTTGCTGACATGTCACCTCTCCTTATGTAGTTAATCCTAAAACCTTCCACATGTCTTGAAAGATCTTAAGATGATGTATATTTTTATACTGCTTCATTGCGTGTATTTATCCTTTGATGACAAGCTCGACTATCTGTGCTGTATCACTTACCTAGATGAGAATGAAAAAAACGTTATTCAGAAAGTTCTAAATATTTCAACAGTTGATTAAGCCATTCAGCAAACATTTACTGAATGCCTCCTCTGTTCAAGGCATCATGCAGGGAATTCGGAGGGCATTACAAGGCTGGGTGGAAGGTTTGAAATGAGGGGGCAGGCTAAGGGTTGTGGGAGATCAGAGGAGGGCAGGTGGTTTCAGTCTAGAAGTGCGGGTAGGGGTAGAGTATTTTTATGGAAGAGACATTTTTTGAGTTACATCTTGTCCTAAACTTAAGATTTAGTTAGTTGATAGGCAAAAAAGATATCCCAGGGAGAGGAAAGGGCATTGATAGTTTGTTGGAAGGGTGCAGATGTGCTCCAGGAAGAGCAACCCATGTAATTTTTACTGGAACAAGTAGATCCCATAGAAGAAAGGTGACAGGCAGCTTGGGGCAGCCTCTGGAGGGCCTGGAACCTGGGTGGGATATTTGAACTTTGTTGATCAGCAATGAATTACCATGGAAGGTTTTTGATTATGGGGACAGGACTAGAGTGTTAGAAGAGTCCTCTGGTGGTGGGTGCAGGATGGAATAAAGTCAGGAAGGAAGAAATAAGTCCAGGACTTGATAATGGATAGTTTGAGCCTGAGCAAAGGTCTGTGTTAGGATGGTGGCAAAGGCAATAGGAAGGATGGGCGTACCAGCTGCTGTCATGTGGGCCAGACGAGTCTAGTCTTGTTGGCACGGTGCAACCCTGGTTGACTCTGCTGTAACTGGCTGGACTGTGAGCTTCTGATCAATGTATAATTGCTGGATTTAATTTCCTAGTGTGCACCTGTGTCGTCCATAAACGCTGCCATCATCTAATTGTTACAGCCTGTACTTGCCAAAACAATATTAACAAAGTGGATTCAAAGGTAAGAGGATAGCAGTTTGCTGATTAAGTGTGTATGTATATTGTGTGTGCTGTGTGCCGCCATCTCCCTCCCTCCCTCCCTCCTTTCCTCCCCCTCTTTCCTTCTCCCCGTCCCCCAGCCTCTGCTTTCCTCCCCCTGCCATTTCCCTTCCACATTCTTTGAAGCCAAGGGTGGTATTAGAATAGAAATTTCTCTCTCTCTTTTTTTTTTTAATTATGGCATTTGTATTTCTGTACTTATGTGGCATCATCCCTCCTTTGCGAGGACCCCATTAGTGGTTGGCTGGGTATAAGCTATATGGATTGATTCTACTCATTTAGAGAGACTTTTGGCAGAGTGAAAGGAGCCCTGAACTTGTCATCTGACAGCCTGGATTTGAATGCTGAATCCAGCCTCTGTTAGCCATCTTCTCTATGAGCTGAGGCAAGGCCTACAATCTCACTTTGCCTCAGTCTTAAAACAGGATCAGTGTTACCCTCACACAGTTTTTGTAAGTTAAACAACATAAAATTGATGTGACACATATGTTAATAACTGTAAATTACACTTCTTAAGTAAAAAGATTGCTGGCTTTCTCCAGCCTCTTAAGAAATTTCAGGGAAGATGTTTCTCTCTCTCTCTCTCTCTCTCTCTCTCTCTGTGTGTGTGTGTGTGTGTGTGTGTGTGTGTGTAAGCTTCAGCATCATTCTTGCCACTCATATTGCATTCATCTGCAACAGGCATACATTTTAAATTCTGCAGGTAAAAGCAAATGGAGTGTTGCTGACACTTAGCAGTAGGTTTGCAGACGCATTGGAAGAATGACTCTGGAACACACTGGTTCTTTACAGTACACATATAGGATTGCTAAAGAGTATACCTAGAGGTATAAACCACAGCTTTTCCAAGAAAGAGGCCAGAGAAGTTTCAAGAGGAGTAATGATTACCCTACTCCTTTTCATGCATGGGTCTGTTGTTATAGCATCAAATTGTGGTATGAACTGCAGAGTACATGCCTAGTGGAATTATTTGCTGGAAACTGAGATTTAACTCAGATTGTCAGATTGCAAATGCCAGGCAAAGAAAGGCTGGAAGGACTGAATAAGTAGTTACTTTAATGTCACTTTGGAATAAATTCCTTCTGTGGTTCCATGGCTTCTGAGTCTCTTTATTTTTCCCCCCGTGACACAATGTGTGGAAGAACTTATAGTGATAGCAAGTATATATAGTGCGTAAAAGACCCATTTAATCCTGAAGTTAAAGGGTTCTGGAAAATAGATGGGGGTGTTAGGGAATTGGCAAGGAGAGAAATATGGCCTGAATATGAAAGATGAAGTGAAAATATTAATTTCTGTTTCTCAAAATGGCGAATGATCTAAAATGTGTTTCCCACATTTCTGTCTTGTCCTGTTCATTAGAAAATGTGTTTAGTCTGGTTAGTAAGACCTGAGTAATTAATCAGGGCCGAGTACAGTAAAATAATATACCTAGCTCAGGTGTCATAGTAACACTTTGCATTTGATGGGCTCCTATTACAGTTTTTACAAAAGATGTTGGTATGACATTTTAGCACTTGTCCCTTTATTTCCTTTTTTACAGATTGCAGAACAGAGGTTCGGGATCAACATCCCACACAAGTTCAGCATCCACAACTACAAAGTGCCAACATTCTGCGATCACTGTGGCTCACTGCTCTGGGGAATAATGCGACAAGGACTTCAGTGTAAAAGTGAGATGCTGAGGTGCTGGGTACCCACCTCTTCATGGGAACACTATGCCCCAAGCTTTCAGAATTCTGTGGGCTCAGAATGTGTCCTAGAACCGATGATTTTAGATATGTTGTAAATTAACATCTTAGTCATTTTAAACTTACGTGTTTCTTGTCAGGCATGTAAAGAGAACTTCATATGATGCCAACATTTTCTAACCACAGGACATGAAGTCAAATGTTACATTCAATGATCTAGCTTGCTAGCTGACAAATACAGGCCAGACACTGTATTTTAGTAGGTGTCTGGAAGAGAAAAAGATGGGATCTTAGTCAGAAATGGAAGATGATTGAGTGAGGTGAGACACTAAAAAGAAAATAAATAAATAAAAATTTCAAAGAAATGGAAGGTAGGAGGAGGTAAGGAGGTAAGATGGCCAGATGAGAAGGTTGGATTAAGAGTAAGAAATGGCAGGAGAATGGATCTGATGATCTCACCAGAAATCAGCAGGAATTGAGTTGTCACAGCATAAAAAGAGCTGCCCTGGGTCTTGTGAAAGAGGACTCTGATAGAGATTGGAGAAAGGGGTAGAATGAAGGAAGATAAAGCCTTGCTTGTGAGCTTGGATCTGACCAGCTGTGCCCAGTGGAGTGAGAGTTTGGAGCTTTGGCCCTAGCAAAGGCTCTGAGCAGATGAGAGCTGATCCCTGTCCTGCTAGGAGTTAGTGAGCTGTTGGCCTTGAGCCATCTCGCATGGAAATGTAATGATCTGTCTGCCGTGGGGTGCACCTGACGCCTTCCTTATCAGACACACCCCAAGTTGCCAGTTGAGGAGAGCAATGGGGAGGTAGAATTGGCATTGAGTATAGCCAGACAACTTCCATTGACTGCTTGGACTTATGCAGCCTGCTTCTGTCAACAAAAAGGGACCAGTCACTTGTCTTTAAGAAGGGTACATTCTTCTATCTCTGGAGAACACCATTTAATAATTTTTTTCTCATAAAACCAAAACGGTAGCCAGCTCGTGGATAACTTGTAGGGCGTTGGTCCAGGTGCAGCTTGATCTTAGCGTGATGATCTCACCTGGGTCTGGATGCCCAGTGGGAAGTCCCTTTCTGCCTTGCATGGTTGTTGCTAATGTGCAGAGCCACGCATGGGGCTCATCTGCATTGTCCTCTTCCCTGGTGGCCTGAGGGTAGCACACCTGCGGCGATCCGGCCCCCGTGATTTTTGCTTTTATGGTCACGTGGTGGTTTTGAAAGGCTTCTGTGGGCTCGTGTGTCTTACACCTGTCTTCCTGAGGCGGGGGGTTTCCCATGAAGCTAATGAAGTCTCAGGGCTCCTCTCTCTCAAGGGCACCTTCCAAAGCCCTCTACTTGATTTGGTGTTCTTTTTCTTAAAGAGGGCTTCCTAAATTATGTAAATTCGGGCCCCACAAAACCTGGCTCTGTGTGTGCTTCCAAGATGGACTGACTCCATAAAACGGGAATGTGTCGCTTGTCGCTTCAGTTTCACCTCCCATCAGCGGGGCCCATGTCAAAAAACTGTCTCAGAATTTATTCCAGCTGACAACGCCTCAGATCCTTCATCGTCCCCAGGCAGCTTCCTGTGCCCTGGGAGCTTAGCTTGCTTTGCTCGCCTCTTCAACTGCCATTTGTACTCTGACCTTCAAAAAGTTTTAAAAGTTGCGTTTCCCCACTGTGAAGCAGTTAGAACCACACGCTGCAAATGCTGAGAACCACAGGCTCACAGGATGCCCATCTCTGTGCTGTGAGGGCTGCCCAACCACAATACTGAGAAAGAAAGCTGCAGATAGAGGTTTTTCTGGTAGAAACACCATTTCCATCCTGTTTGAACAGTGATCTGCATGTGGCATTCAAACTGCTACCTTTTATTTCACTGTTGAGAGACAGAAAAAAATACAGTTGACATGATTCTTTGTTATTTAATTGCCTGTGAATTGACGCTATGATAAACATTTTAATCTTTCTATTAGAACTTACTAAGTCAGCAGTGACTGTTACATGTGATTTAGATGAATGGGTTTCATCAAATCATGGTGAAAAAAATGTATTTAAAATCTATTATTCTTTAGTATGCCTGGCTTTCTGCTTCTCCAGAAAACAGAAAGAGATAAAACGTCAGGAACTGTTATTAGTGTGAGCTTAATTTTATGAGAAAATGATACTGTTCAGCTGGTATAATTCCTCTGTCATAATCTTTCAGGCTATTAAAGTTCTCTGTTGCAGCACCTGTTGACTTGGTTCCTTTCTGAACATGGATTCTGTTTTCCTCTTCCCTCTAGTATGTAAAATGAATGTGCACATTCGATGTCAAGCGAACGTGGCCCCTAACTGTGGGGTAAATGCGGTGGAGCTCGCCAAGACCCTGGCGGGGATGGGTCTCCAACCCGGAAATATTTCTCCAACCTCGGTGAGACTTTTTTTCCATGTATCGTAATTTAGAAGTTGTTCAGATGTGGTGAGCCCAAATGAGAGCATGTGGTCTCATCAAAGTTCCTAATCTAAGCAAATACAATCAACAGACTTACTGCCTTTCTGCCTGCCTTTCTTTTTCTTCTCCTTTTCCTTTTCCTTTTCTTTTCTTTTCCTTTCTTTTCTTTTCTTTTCCTTTTTCTTTCTTTCTTTTCTTTTCTCTCTTTGCCCTCTCTCTTTTTTCTTTCTGGCTCTCTCTCATCTTTTGTCTCTCCTCTCCTCTCTTCTCCTCTCCCCTCCCCTTTTCCTCCCTCCCCGCCCCTGCTTCTCTCTCTCTCTCTTCTCTCCTTTCTCCCTCCCTCCGCCTCCCTCCTCCCTTCCTTCCTTCCTTCCTTCCTTTCCTTTCCTGCTTTCCTGCCTTCCTGCCTGCCTTCCTGGCCTGCGCTTCCTGCCTTCCTGCCCTGTCCTGCCTGCCTTTCGCTTCCTTTTTTTGAGGATGGGGGTCTTCCTCTGTCACCCAGACTGGAGTGCAGTGGCACAATTATGGTTCTGTGCAGCCTCGACTGCCCAGGCTCAAGTGATCCTTCTACCTCAGCCTTCCGAGTAGCTGGGACTGCAGGTGTGTGCCAGTATGTCAGGCTAATTTTTAATTTTTTTTTTGCAGAGATGGAGTTTCACTTTATTGTGCAGGCTGGTCTTAAATTCCTGGGCTCAAGTGATCCTCCCGCTTTGGCCTCCCAAAGTGTTGGGATTACACAGGTGTGAACCACTGTGTCTGGCTAAAATCACATTTTTAATAGCAATTTGTTTCACAGATAAGATTGTAGTTACAGTTATATGACAAGAAATAATGAGCATGGGCAACAAGTAATAGAAAGTAGAAGAAGGACATTTTTCTTTCTTTTCCTTTTTTTTCCCCTTTTTTCTTTTTTCTACTTATTCTTTGAGATAGAGTCTCGCTTTGTCACCCAGCCTGGAGTGCAGTGATCTTGGCTCACTGCAACCTCCACCTCCCAGGTTCAAGCAATTCTTCTGCCTTAGCCTCCCGAGTAGCTGGGATTACAGGCGCCCACTACCACGCCGGCTAATTTTTGTATTTTTATTAGAGAGGGGGTTTCTCCATGTTGGCCAGGCTGGTCTCGAACTTCTGATCTCAAGTGATCCGCCCGCCTTGGCTTCCCAAAGTGCTGGGATTACAGGCATGAGCTGCCACGCCTGGCCTCTCTTTTCTTTTTTAAAGTCAGCTTCCTGTCACTGTGGTCTGGTGAAAGCCTAAAACGCAGGATCCTGGGTTATGCTCTTGGCTGATGACCAGGCAGGACAGGTGACCAGTAACTATGGGCGTCAGCATCCTCACCTCTAAAGGGGTTCAACTTGAAGATCTCTGAGGCTCTGCACAGCCCTGGAGTCCAGCAGTTCTGCAGGTTTTGTTTATGGATTGTGAATTTATCACTCACATTCAGCAAGAGACAGGAGTCCCTCCCTCTGGACTCTCAGGAGTGGGTGGAGTTGTGTCAGTTGCAGTGCACATGTTTTTGTCAGCACTCTCCCTGAATGACCTCCACCTGCTGTCATCGAGTTGAGCCTTGGCTGCTTCCCAAGCCCATGTCTTACTGCTGCCTTCCTGGTCAGTGTCTAGAGATGGGAAATAGCCATGGCTGTAACATCTGAACGGTGTAGCTTGGTGTCCAGTTCAGGAAAATTATCAACTTAACTAACTAATCTCTGGGTACTGAGGAAGGGAAGTGCCATCACTGTGAGATTCTTGGTAATCCTGAAAATGTCAGCACCAAGCACCTCATTTCCTTTTTACTGAAAGACTCCTGCCTGGTAGATCAGGGACTTTTATTGACAATTTATGAATTGCCGCTATGATAAACATTTTAATCTTTATATTAGATCATACTAAGTCAGCAATGACTGTTATATGTGATTTAGATGAATGAGTTTCATCAAATCATGGTAAAAAAAATGTATTTGAAATCTGGTCTGTCTGTCTTGTGGGTAGGCAGGCAGGATGCCAGTATTGTGCGGGGATTGCTAATGCATGGCGCAGTTATCCCTGAAGAGCAGAGATTAAAGATGTCAGCCTGAACTAGGGCTTCTAAGATACAGTCGGAATAAGATAAGGCCGTGCAGCACGATCTTCAGGAATGGGCAATGCACTTGTCATTTGAATCAACTATCCTTAATCCATGATATCTGGCACCTGGCTGGATGTTAGACTTTTGATCTGTTGTCTAGTGGTAGCTTATCTTATAAATGTCTCAAGGTGGGCCACCTGCAAAAGTCACCTTGCCTTTAGGTAGCAACATCCTCAGGTACTCAGTAGGATGGAATTGGAAAGCCAACTGAGGCAGCCACACTTACTTTCCATTCATTGTGTTGAAACTAGAATTCTCATGCTAGTAGGACTGTAGATTGTTCAGTCTTTGTAGATGGTAAGTTGGCTGTGTATCAGAAGTCTTCAAAATTAGCACTTTGGCACAAGGAATTCCATTTGCAGGAAGTTATCTTAAGAAACTGGATGATGATAATGACAGTACAGCTTAAGTTTATTAAATGTGCCAGGCACCAATCTAAGTGCTTTATATGCATTTGTTCATCTAGGCCTCCTAATGACTCACGTGGCAGATGCTTTAACCTTCTCTTTGTCAGAAGAGGAAACTGAGGCAGGGATAGGCTGGGTAGGTAACTTGCTCAGGGTCACAGGTTAGGTTGCAGAGCTGTTATTGAATCCAGGCAGCTTGCTTGAGAGCTAGACCCTTAATTACTCTGTTTTGAAGATTTGCATGAAGTGTATTCACTACGGTGTTATTTATTATGGTGAAAAATGGGAGATGCCTCATCTTTCTAATAGCAGAGGAATTAATACATTGTGAGATATCCATGAAATGGATCTTGAATAGCCATTAGAACTCATGTGCTTGAAAGATATTTAAAGGCATGAAAAATACCCATGACAAATTTTTAAATACAAACGTATGTTATGAAACAATAATTTTATTACGTTTTTAAAAATTAACCAAGTATAAAAACGTGTGTGTGTTATTTATACATAGATATAGATATCTTTGGCAGGGGGCTGGTGAGATTTTAGGTATTTAAATTTTTATTCTTCATGCTTTTGATCATTGTTCTATTCACATTGAACTTTTATTTCTCCTATATAATTTAAAATATTGATTAAAAACGTTGCTTCATTCGTGTCCTGGTGCTGAATGATGCTTGAATCTCTGAGCAGACATGAAAACTGCTCTCTGTAAAAAGTGGACACTAGGTGGCGCTCATGGAATCGGACCTTCCTATGGAAAGCTACCGCAGAAGGCACCCGAGGGACCACGCAAGGCATTGGTGTTTCCATGCACTTCCACTTGAGCGCTAACTGTAACTCCATGGCTTAGATGTGTTTTTAATTGACCTTTCACACAAAGCAGTAAGCACAGATTCAGAAGCTGATACTGAGGGAGCTTCGAGTGGCAGAACCAATCATCCGTCAAGCTGAATTGATCTTTCCCCCGCATTATACTGGGGGTGAGACTGCTCCCAGCCAGTAAGGTCTTCTTTGTGCATGGGTGCTCCGTGCTCCTGCTGCAGTTTTGTGTTTTTACTCTTTCAGAAACTTGTTTCCAGATCGACCCTAAGACGACAGGGAAAGGAGAGCAGCAAAGAAGGAAATGGGATTGGGGTTAATTCTTCCAGCCGACTTGGTATCGACAACTTTGAGTTCATCCGAGTGTTGGGGAAGGGGAGTTTTGGGAAGGTGAGTCTTGGCTTTAACTGTTTGGGTTGAAGTAAGCATGCTCTGTATTCACGCGCACACACACACATACTCACATTTCACATGTGCCATTCTTTCTTTCCCTTGTTTGCACACACCCTAAGATCCCCAAGAGGACTCTCTCATGCTCCCTCCTTTTGCTTTGCCATAGGTGATGCTTGCAAGAATAAAAGAAACAGGAGACCTCTATGCTGTGAAGGTGCTAAAGAAGGATGTGATTCTGCAGGATGATGATGTGGAATGTACCATGACCGAGAAAAGGATCCTATCTCTGGCCCGCAATCACCCCTTTCTCACTCAGTTGTTCTGCTGCTTTCAGACCCCTGTAAGTATGAATCACATTCACTGCACCAACAGCCTCTTTTCTTAAAGAGCTGAGACAATAAGATACTGGAGATTTCGTAAAGTTGAGTATCAGAAATTTTGGGGGATGGGCTCCCAAGGCAGGGTCATATGGAGGTATTGATGACTTCTGACAACCTCTGGAGGAAAAATGGAAGCTTATGAATTCACCCCTTCCTTTATGCTGTCCGGGGAAGGAGCACTGTGAGGGTTGTGTGTCCCAGGATTGAAAAGGTCGTCATACATAAATCTTCTCTAGGTGAGTGAAGGTTACAGAAATCTAAGAACAGAGAAAATGCCATGGGCTGATTATCTTGATGAATTTGACTGTGACTCTGCTCCTAAATGCTGGGCTGGTTCTGACCTGGGCACAGGAGTTTAGAAGAGGGGTCTGAGAGGACCCAGAGAGGTACCTTGATTAGGAACATCCCAGGGCATTGCTCCTGGCTTTAGCAGTGTCCCTTTGCCTGAAACCATGGACTGGTCTTAGGAATTGAATCTGTCTGCCCTATAATGGTATGCATTTAGGAATATTTCTGGCTATAGTTAATGGAACACTTGAGCAGCGGTGGATTAAACAATAAATAGAAAAGATGGGTTTGGTCCATTAGTAAACTTTTTACTTGTTTCACATAATGAGAAGTCTGATGATAACATTACTGTGGTTGGATTTGTTGCTCAGTGACATTGGGCATGTCTTTCCCTTGGGGTCCCAAGGTATTTGTTGCAGCCCTGGATGCCACACCTTGGCATGATAGCAAAGCAGAAAGCACAAGGGCAGGGGCCGAAGGGCTTCATAGCCAGTCTCCTTTTTTCAGGGAGGGAAGATCTTTCCTAGACTTGGGTCAACTGCCCTGTATGTCTGTTCTCACATTGCTACAAAGAACTACATGAGACTGGGTAGCTTATGAAGAAAAAAATGTTTAATTGACTCACGGTTCCACAGGCCATACAGGAGGCATGGCTGGGGAGGCCTCAAGAAACAGAATCATAGTGGAAGGGTGAAGGAGAAGCAAGCAGGGCTTCACATGACAGCAGGAGAGAGAGAGAGCAAAGGGGAAATGCTACACGCTTTTAAACAGCCGGATCTCATGAGACCTCGCTATCATGAGAACAGCAAGAGGGAAATCTGCCTCGTGATCCGGTCACCTGCCACCAGGCCCTTCCCTCAACATTAGAGATTCCAGTTCAACATGAGATTTGGGTGGGGACACACAGCCAAACCATATCATGCCCTTAGCAAGAAGGCTGCAAGAGCAAATATCAGGCCAAGATAAGCTGGCAGACCGTGATTGGTTCACACCAACCTTGATTCAGCCCCTGGCGCAGGACATTCTGCTTCTATTTAGAATCAGGCTCAAAATTGGGCTTCTGGTATCAATGAAGAGGGAAAATGGCCTTGGAGAAGGCACCAAGAGGGAGGGTCTGTACAGAGGTGTCAGAATCTTGCTGTCAAAAAACATTCTGGGAGAGTGAATTCTGGGCATGTTCCTGACCTGTGCCGCCATCAAGGAAGCAGGCGATTCCATGGGAGTGGGATAGGGGCATCTGACCCGGTCAGGGAGGCTGGCAATACACCTCTAGGGGAGGTAAAGCCATGCTGGGACCAGGTGAGTGAGTTAGAATTAGTTAGGCAGAGAATGAAGGCGAATATGTCATACAGGGTCAACAGCACACCATAGGTCTGCTGGTGAGACAGAGCATCCGGTGTGAAGGAGGCTCAGCACACGCAGCATATTGAGGTTGAAGAGGGGCCTGGTGAGAACTGAGGCAGCCGAGGTGGGCCAGGGCCAGGCCATGAAGATCCTTGCAGGCTGCGTTAAGGGGTTTGAGTTTAGTCCTGAGAGCAATGGAAAGTCATGGAAGAAGTTGAAGCGGAGGAATGACATATCAGGTTGTATGTTTTAACTATGAAAATCTAATTTCTTGCAATAGGTAATATAAGTATCCTCCAAATATTCATATCCTTTCTCTGAAAGAAACAATTATTGCTCGTTTTATTTATAGCCTTTGAGAGAATTTTCTGTACACAAAAGCATATATAACAGCACACATATGCATACATATTTATCTTTAAAAAACACAAATAATAGTATACTTTGCCCATGATTCTGTATTTTTAAAATTTAATTAATCTATTTTTTGAGACAGGGTCTCACTTCGTCACCCAGGCTGGAGTGCTGTGATGGTTATGGCTCACTGCAGCGTCAAGCTCCCAGGCTAAAGCGATTCTCCCACCTCATCCCCCTGAGAAACTGGGACTTACAGGCACATGCCACCACACCTGGCTAATTTTTGTATTTTTTGTAGAGATGGGGTTTTGCCATGTTTCCCAGGCTGCTCTCAAACTCCTGGGCTAAAGCAATCCATCCACCTCAGTCTCTCAAAGTTCTGGGATTACAGGCATGAGCCACTGTACCTGGCCACTTTATTTTTTTTAAGACATAATATTAATAGTATACATTGGAAATTGTTTTGTATTTCTATATACCAAGCTGCCTCATTTTTAATGGTTGCATAGTACTCCATTTTAGAACGTGACATCATTAATTTAACTTGTCCTCCTCTGTTGCTGTGTATTATGTTCCTAGTCTTTTATTTCAGTCACTGTTGCAGTGAGTCCCCTTATACTTTTGTCTTTGTGTGCTTATGCTGGTGTTTCTGTATGACACGTTATTAGTAGTAGTATTGCTTGGTCAAAGGGTATATGCATTTCACATTTTGATTGAGTCCAATTGCCCCTCTCCTCCATTGTGGTTAAAGATAGCGAACATTTTATTGTTCATATGCCACACATTGTTCTAAGTGCTTTATGTCTGTTATCTCATTTAATCCTTACAGTAACCCTCTGAAATAAGTTCTGTTATTATCACCCCATTTCACAAGGAGAAAACGTAGGTACAAAGAAGCTTAGTTCCGAAGTGGCAGAGAGGGTTTGAAGCCAGGTGGTCTGACGGCAGAGTACAGGCAGGCTCTTCCCTACTTGCTGGGCTGCGTCTCTAAATTCACACTCCCAAAGCTTGAGTGAGAAGATGTATTTCCCCCGCCTTCCCATCACGGCATGCTATCTGTCATTTGGGTCATCTGAGAGGTTAGAAAAATGGTATATTTGAAGTTCTAACTTGCATTCCTCTAGCTGTGACTGAAGCTGGGCGTTTTCGTGTGTTTCAGGATCACTTGTATTCAAATCTGTGTTGGGAGGGACACGTGCAGCCTGGAGAATGGGTGGAGCAGAGAAGTCTGGGAGCTTGATGACAGGATGCACTGAAGGAGATACATGGCGTGGACTCCCACGCCACTCCAGCGTTATCAAGAGAAAAAAAACTGGGGAGGCAGCTAATGGCTTCATGGACCTCGACTCCCCTGCACTCCTCTCCCTTCCCCTCTGCTCCTCATTGGTCCTCAGTGACTCCTGATGGCCCTGGAGCCCATGCTGCTCCTGCCCCCATCCTCTTCTTTCCCTCTGCTGGGCCGGTCCTTGGTTCCCGTGGAGCTCCAGTTCTCCCTGCCCCACACTGCTCCCTGGGGTAGCCTTGAAGCCCTTCCTTTGCTGGGCACTTTGCCAGCATACAGCCCCTCCCCTGCCCTCACCCCCTTGTTGGGCTCTTTTCTTGGAATAGAGGAGTGGAGTTACAGCTACAGGCTTGAGAGGGATAGCTGGTAGCTGATACTGGTTGCCCGCCAGGGTTTCAAGCGCCAGCCTCCTGAACACCACCATGAACACCACGGGTCAAGCCGCAGAGCCGGGTGATCGCTCAGATCTCCTTCCTAGGGCCTGAGCCAAAGATCACATGGTTTCCTATGACATGAGGTTAGGTCATCTTCACCAGCTGGTAACCTTTGAGTCAAGCAGTCAACTGGTATTTAGTGAGCTTAGCCTGGTCTTGCAGCAGCAGTGGTTCCAAGTTACTACTGCCGAAGCAAATAAAGAAGTATCTCATACCTAACTCAGGGGAATTTGATCTGTAAAAGGAAATTCTGGTGAGTATAAGCAAAGATCTCATCAGCAATTAGATCATGTTATGGTAGAGTAAAATGAGAAATTAACCTGGAACAGATTGGGAACCCAATCAATATAGCATATACAATCAAAATGTTCCAGGAAAATATATAAATTATACAATATACCAAAATTTTAGCGGCCACACGGGATTCCCAGTGTTTAGCGGGTGAAGCCTTTACTAGAATTGAAGTCTTTTTTTCCTAGTGGAAGTTTTATGTTTGACCACAAGGTGGCAGTCATTACCGCAAAGTTTTTATTTCTCCTCCAGAGAAACCAAATGCATGGAACTGCCATTGCGGTTTAAGATGTGTGTATTGTAGTAGATGTCTCCAAAGCAAAGGATAAAGGAAATGTTCCCCTGCTTTAGGCTAAATCATAAAGAAGTAGTGGGAACCCACTTCAAAGAAGCAAGTGAGGCTGAGCGCAGGCAGCACTTTGGGAGACCGAGGTAGGCCGATCACTTGAGCCTAGGAGTTTGAGACCAGCCTGGCCAACGTGATGAAACCCCGTCTACTAAAAATATAAAAATTAGCTTGGTGTGGTGGTGCATGCCTGCAATTCCACCTACTCCAGAGGCTGAGACAGGAGGATCGCTGGAACCTGGTAGGCAGAGGTTGCAGTGAGCTGAGATCATGCCACTGCACTCCAGCCTGGGCGACAGAGCGAGACTTTGTCTCAAAAAAGAAAAAGAAGAAAAAAAAAATAGCAGCAAGGGAGTTTTTCTCATGCTGAGATAGAGGTATACAATTTTAATTTTGCTCTCGCTGATGCCCTCTTTGAGGTTTGCAAGGTATCGGACTCCACAATACACATGGCATTTGTTCGCTGTGCATTCATCTGTCAGAAGTCCTCAGTGACAATTCCCATTTACTGTTGTAAAACTATGAAGAACAGAAAGTGTTACTTGCTATGAGAAATTACAGCAGAAAGATGCTTACTTTTTAGCTGCCCAGTGTTGCAGGCCCTGGCTTCTGAAGTGA